TCCTCATGTACCCTTTGGGGTTCTCACACAAGAGAAACAATGCAATATTTAAACTTGCGTGTCTGATTTATTTCACTTAAAATTGTGGTCTCAAGGTGCAATGATTTACCTAAAGATTTCTCAGGTGTATCCTTTATGGCAGAGAAGTATTCCATTTTATATAACAACAACATTTTTTTATCCATTCATCCGTTGAAGAGCATATCGTGTGTTTCCAAGATTCAGCTACTATAAATTGTGCTGCCATAAACATGGATATGCATATGTCCCTGTATTATGATGCTTTTAATTCTTCTGGAAAGATACCTAGCAGGGGAATAGCTGGGTCAAATGGAACCTCTAACTTTAGTTTTTTGAGAAATCTTTATATTGATTTCCAGAGTGATTGTATCCATTTATACTCCCACTAGCAATGGAAAGGGGTTCCTTTTACCCTACAGCCTCACCAGCATTTGTTGCTATTGGTTGATTTCTTCGTGATGGCCATTCCTTCTAGAGTGACATGGAATCTCAGTGTTGCTTTAATATGCATTTCTTGAATGATCACCCAGTGACATTATAAAGATAATAATGTGCATATTTTCCCTTCCTACCTTGTTTTGAAATTCTGTATAGTTTTTATTGTTTTTGTGTTATTTTGTTTTTGTTCTTTACTCTTTAAAATAAGAAAAAACCAAAAAGATATCCCTCCCCCCAAAAAAGATAATAATGTGAAGTAATCTTAATACATCTTGGATTATATTTGTTTCTTTAGGATAAAATCCTAAAAACAAATCCCTGGGTCTGCATGAAAGGATATAAAGTTAATTGCTTAACACAGGTTTATTGAGCTCCTGATGTTTGCTCTCCATAAACATTAAATTTACAGTACTGGTTCTTCCAGTCTATGACTGATGAGAATGTATAATCCACGGCCTTTATCAATTTTACATTTAGGAAGTGAGTACAATAGATGTGATGCTCTCTAAGAAGTATGACCTCATTTAATTCTATGAAGTTGCCACTAGTAAACCATTTTATAGATGCAGAAACTAAAGTACAGGGATATTATTACCATGCCCAAATTTACATAGCACAGGACTATGGCTATAGGATATAGGATATGGTCCTGTATACAGAAAACCTATAATCACACTCTCCTTTATACTTTGGGCTTTCCTGAAACAAGTCTCAGTAGTCTAGGTTATTTTTTAGTTACACTGCACTTCTGGAGAAAAGTCTAGGGTGGTAATTTAACTATGTAAAATATGTATTTTCTTCACTGCCATTTCTTCACCCATTTGATTTTGAACTATAATGATGAAAATCACTTAGATCTTTGCAATGGGATGTTGTGTTCTTTACTTTAGAATCTTTAGCTAAGGCAAGTAGTCTGCTTGTTGCAAGCCAATTGAATGGTCTTAGCAACCCAACCTATTGCCAGAATGGCAGCTTCACCCCTCCATGGCTTAGAGAGTGTGTTGGCATTAAGAACAGGGGAAGGAAGCTTTTGTTGCTGTGGCAGAGCCCATTCTTGTGCAGTGAAGCTGATTTGGAAGAGAGCTGTGGAGTGAGGGAACTAGAGCAAACAAGTCTCTTAATACAGTATGAGAAGAATAGGGCCTATTACCATGTGGTGCAACATTGCCTGCTGCATAGTAGCAGGTACTGCTGGGTGCCATTTCCCAGGCATAGTGACTTTAGAATACCCAATAAAATTCATTACTCATTTGAGAGAAAGAGAGTAAGAGTAAAAAGCACTGTAAAAATCCAATCCCATTCAGGTTAACCTTGGCACATACTTTCTCCCAGTTGGTGCATTTCCAAAAGAAATAGGCACATTAAATTCAAGAGGGACAACTCAACCCTTGTTAAAGCTGTAAATCAATGCTGCTCAGTTCCCAGCTTCACTCAATGTCTCTGCAAGGAGCAGCAGTGAGAAATGAACTGATCCCACCATCCTTGTATGCCTCTGTCTCTCTGACCCAAGCTCTCAGGATACATCTGCTTTGCTCAAGACAGAGCTATGGTTGGACAGCCTGGATTTATGTCAGTAGGGATACATAAAGCTTTTGTGGCAGGATCTGTCAAATCCAACTTCTAGGTGCTATAGAATACATCCATGTTATTTTCTTGGCAAACGTCATATTCACAGAATTATGTCATGTTATCTTGAATATTATGCATTGGTTAACAAGATCCTTAAAAAATAGAAAATTATACTAATTTATTGCCCCCAAAGACCAAATTTATGGAGCAGATATGCAAGATTTTGGATCCTTATGTAAATGTAACCCCAGTATCATATTCTAAATAGCAAAATCTTAATACATATCATTTACTAATTGGACCGCATGTCACAGCTTGAGATGAATACATAAAAATATGCCTTCCCACAATGTATCCAGGCTTTTTTATTGGTTAGACCAAAGAAAACTTAGCTTCTCTGTGGTTTTATCAATAATCTTTGTCTTGGGAGCTCTCATTTGCTTAAGTATAGAATTTAGTTCTCAAGAAAAGATCTTTGAAGGACCTTCTCTCCTTCTCTCTCAAGGAGAGAATTAATTAACGCTCAAGTTTGGGACTGAGAGATAAAACTGAAAAAGAATGAGAATCAGATTGTGTAAGGCCACTCAGAACATCCTTACATCATTTCCTTTCAAGTCACACTCTCTTGTTCACACTGGAGTGAGGAAGGGGAAAAAGAGAGAAGTATCAGCGGCTGCATCACAGGCTGCTGCAGTGAATACTGAGGGGCATCTTGTACTTAAGCCAAAGAAACTTGGGTGAGAAAAAAGGACAGAAATGATCATCCAAATATGTGGCAGAGAGAGGAGCTTCAGGATGGGATTTCACTGTACATTTTTAAATAATTGCCACATTTCATAGATACAGATCCGTCTTAGAAAAAACACATTCCAGAATAAATGAAGTACAGATTTGAAGGCTTATCAGAGGCAGTTAGTGGTAGAAATGTGGGATGTCCCAGAGTAAGAGTAGATAAAGACTATGAAGGCCTGTAGCTAAACTAGGGTGAAATACTATTTCTTAAGTAAGTCAAAGTCAATTTAAAACAGAACAAAATAAAGTCCATGTTGGCACCAAACCAAACATCTGTAGCTTGCATTAGCCTTTTGAGCTATTGGTTTGTGATCATTGGTATTAACTTTTGCCAGGGAAATAGAACACTGGAACTTAAAATGCATCTTAAAGAGACTAATAACATCAAAATATAGGCTATCCGTAAAAACTCTTGTTTTAATTACCAAAATCATACCATTGTGCCTCCATATTTTCTACTCCAAAATTCCCCATCTTTCACATTTCTACTAACCAGATAGTGCTAAGCAATTAAATTTTTTTCTGTTCTTCAAACATTCTGTGGATTTATGTATTTTTATTTGCTAAGTATATCCACTTTACTTAAAGGGCCCTTCTATAGAGAAGATTCACCTTACATTACCCTCAGATTACTTAAACATTTATGCTTTTTCTTTTTAATGCGGAAAGTGCATGGAGATCCTTGTCATTGGCCCACTATGCTCACATTTGGTTTGCTCTATTTTTTGTATTTGGAAAATCATCAAAATAAATATTGACTGCTCCTCTGAGTAGCCCATTAGCAATTTTTAAAATGTCAATGAAAGTTTGAGGAACTTTACACTCAGAGATCTTCCCAAGCAGGCCTAACAGTTAAATCTAAATCAGAGCTAAGTCTGTGTACTTTACTTTGCTGAGTGTGGAGAGGAGGCAAGGTTGAAGGCTGGAGTTTCTGTCATGGTCACTAAGATGAGAAAATATTTTTTTCCATTTACAACTTCACTTTACCATCCAAGCTGCGTAGTGATGCCTTAAGGTTCTAGGACTCCCCCTCCCCAACAAAAGAAACCAAAGGGCCATTTTTTATCATTTAATTTTCATAAACACTTCATCAAAGGACTTAGGGGACTCAGACTGAGTCCTTGGATTTCTGTTTTGTAAGATTTTGTTTTGCTTTGTTCAGGAGGATCCGTTTTCCTCACTTTATGAGTTATATACAGTTTACATATAGTAGGAGGAAATGCCTCCTACCTATAGTGATACAATCTCATCTTCCCTTTGAACATTTACTTCTTGACCCTATGGAAGGCTCTTCTGGTGGGAGTGCATTTCCTCTTGGGTTCAGGGTTTTAATGTTGTGCAATTATCTAGGTATTTTTTATTGACCTCTTGTCATCACAGTGTGTCTGTAATAGTTTTCTAGTTACGTTATGTTAGAGGCTGGTCTAGTCTCTCTCTGTAGAGACAAAGAGGTTCACAGCACAGGAATCAGTCCTGACACAGGATCCACATTCTATGACAACTATGACAACTGTGTTCTGTGACAACTGCAGTAGTTTGATTGCTAGCAGAGTGCCAGCATTTCTAAATTGATCAAACTGGATCTCACAAAGAAGTATCTAATTCAGCAAAAACAATATCATCATTACATTATAGTAGGCAAACATAAGGTCTTGCTTCATGTTGGTGAAGATCGAGTTCACAGAAGCATCTCTCCTGTGGATGTGACAGGCAGGGTACTGTGCACCTTGGGGACTTGGTGCCAACAGCCTGAATGTCTTGTATCTCAGGATCTCCTCACGTTATTTCAGATCTGACAATAAAAGAATAGTGGTCTGATTTTGCCCCTAATTCCTGGAGTTTTGGTGACTTCATTGGAAAGACTGTGAAATACGAAAGCACTTCTCTTATACAAGAAACGCAAAATATCAACAAAATAAAGAGCAATATAAAAAATAGTAGGAAATGGAGAGATAGATCTTTTACAAAAGGGAAGGGGACTAAGAGATGTGAGAGATGAAAAAGGAATTAAGATGTGTTGTGGACATGTACCTACCCCTCCACGGTGAGTGTATGATCGCTATGTACAGCTAACAGGTGCTAATAAAAAAGTCACTAAATGGCAACGAAACAGTGAAATCGGACCAGATGTAGAGAACTGAGATGATACTGTGAGTGGTTGACTTTTCTTTTCTGTGCAGCAGGAAAAGCCTAGGCTTCTTGAGCCTTTGGATTATGAAATCGTCATTGAAGAACTTGAAAAGACTCACCGGAACGATCCTCTTCAAGACCTCCTGTTCTTCCCCAGTGATGACTTCTCAGTAAGTCTTCTCTAGCCATCTCAATTCAGGAAGACCCCACAAATTGAATCACATCCTTCCTTTTAGATTGAGAAAGCTTCCCTTCTCCGGTGCCTACTCTCCAGCAGTAGGATGTATGCTTGGGTCTCTCCAGGTGGGAAAAGTGGAGGCTCAGAGAGACAGTGACCGCAGGGGGTGGGAGCAGTGCAGGATGCGGCCTGGTTCCAATAGAAGCTCTTGTCCCAGCAGCGTCCATGTGTCTAACCATTGCCTTTTCTGGATTCACAGAGCATTTCTTTATCTCAGGCCCTTTCTAATTCAAAGCTTCCAAGCAGCTATAGCCAACCAGTGGCAAAAGCCAGACTCTATTAGCACAAAAGATGTAATTCTTAAAAATTATCTTTAATCATGCCTGGCTCTTAATTAGAAGATGTTGAGATTTGAGAGCAAATAAAGGTAGGCCAGGACACCTTCATGGGAGGTTTTATGAACCAGGGGCAATGTGCCCTGCAGCCAAGGTTGCTCCTGAGGAGGTGGAGATAATGAATGAAAAGGGCACTTGTTTTGGAGACAGAAACAAGAAATTCATGGATGATGGGCACCCAACAGTCAATGTGCTGTCTGTGATCACCTTAAACACTTTAAAATTGTCATCAGTATGGAACTATGCAAATAGAGATCTCCATGGACAGGTGATAACTTTTCCTGCTTGTTTTTTTTTTTTCCTAAAAGAAAGGAGGTCTCGGCACAAACTTCACTATCCTCCAAAGGTGAAAAGGCAACTTGGGAATAACTGCAAAACAAGACTTGCCCATGGAAGCCTCTGTCAGAGAGTATTGATCCAGGCCCCCATTGCCCTCAAACTTTGGCTGCATTTCTCCTCTTGGTGGTAGATTTTGTTTCTGGCTTCTGAAGGGTTAATTGTTTTCACCTCCCTTTGTGGAATCACAAAAAAGAAAGTACAGAGGGACGTTAATGCCTTTGGGTTCCATCTATGAAGAACAACGACAGAAAGCAGGCAGATCTATACATAAGAAAAATAACTCTCCAACCTGCTTTTTAAATGTTTAGATGGCTTCCACCTCACACTGACATATTTTGAGAGAGGCTTATCTCACTCAGAAATCTCATTTCTGTGGTTGGATTGGGCAGGCCACGAGAGTCTACTGCAAGCCTGAAGTTAAACACTCTTATTTTTTTTTAATTCCACATCCTCATTTTCATGTTTTAGACTGAAAAATGGCCCCACCAAACAGCCTTTTTCTGCTAGAGAACACTAAAAGTCATGAAATGTAGAGCATCTTTCTTTCTAGCTCTGTTGTTCGGACATATGTCAGATGCTCCCTCAGGGATCCCCAGCTCAAAAAGAGAGTAGATGAGTGTAGGTGCGGACAGCATTTGTACTGAAGATGATTTCAGTTGGGGCATCTTTCCATGATCACTGAAGTTACAAATTTTTTCTGATTACTCTTTGACCTTTGCCATCTTCAGCAGTGTAGACAGGGCCTATAATAACATACTATTTTCTTTTCCCAATGTGAACACTCCAACAAATACACTAAACTATTTCATTCTGTGCCTTCTAAAACCCTCCTGTGGGTCCTCTTTGCCTTCAAAATGAAGTGCAAATGCCCTAGTATAGCCCAAGGCTTTCAGCAAGATCTAGTCCCTGTTCTGATTTCAGAGCTGTGTGCCATCTTTCCCACCACCACCCCAGACCAGCCCACACATTCTCCCTCATTCCCGACTGGAGTAAAATACTACCACAGTTCTAAAACTACCATTCTAGGAAGCACACCTCTGTTTCCTTTCCTTATTAGCTTAACAAACATGCAATGTATAATGCTGAGTGTGAGGCATTAGGATAAAAATTGAGATGTAGCTGTGACTAGGCAGAAACTGCCTTGTTCTGTTGGAGATTACTTTTTGAAAATAAATTTAGAGAATTAATTAACAAGGTAGTTCAGGTGAAGGCCAGTTCTGGGATGAAAATAAAGCAGGGGGGCTGTGATGGAAACTGACCGGGGGAAAGAACTGCATTAGACTGGGTGGCCCAGGATGGCCCCTGATGAGGTGACATTTGAGCTGAGTTCCAAATTCTTCACTAGGACCAGCCTTGCTATGTATACTCAGGGAAGGACTGTTATTGGAAAGGCTGACTCAAAGTCCCCGAGAGCTCTCTGATTGATGATTGAGATGACTGAACAGAGGGAATGGTCACAGAGGGGATTGAGAAAGGACAAAATCAGGCACTGGTATCTTATTTTAAATGCAAGTGGCAAGTCACCGGAGTATTTCAAGGAAAACAGATGACCTGGTGTAATATTAACAGTTCATCTATTTGTATGGAGAATTCGTAACAGAGCTTAGAGCAAGCCTGGGGCCAGCTGGGAGAGTAGCTCCCAATTAGGAGATGCTCAAGGGCTATTTGATGCCACCTGATCCTTATTATCAAAAAGTCATATCCTACAAATGACTACATTGCAATCTGCAATAAGCTATTTACAAAGAAATTTGTCTAATATTACGGATCTATAAAACTGCCAGTTTTGAATGATAGTCAGACATATCTTTCTCCCTCTTTTTTACCCTACAGAGTATGATTTGGTCGACTAGGGCCCCTGCATAGCCTGCTGCCCATTTTTGTATGTCCCATGAGTAAGAATTGTTGTGTTTTTAAATAGTTGAAAGAAGAAACTAACATTTTGTTACACTTGAAAATAATTTTCAAATTCTGCATCCATAAGCAAAGTTTAGTCTGAACACTGGTGTCCAATCATTTACCCAAGATTGTTTTCATGACATGTATGACAGAGTTTCAGTAGCTATAGCACAGACATAGGCCAAAAAGACTTAATTCTGACCCTTTGCAGGAAAAGTGAGCTGATCTGTGCTGTACAGTACAACTGCATTTGTTTTGATTTTTCCTCTTATTCTTTCTTCTGGAGTGCAAACACTTCTGTCCGTTTTTCCTAACAAGGTCTACTCATCCAAAACCCATGTTATATTTAGGGCTTTTGCTGATCAGCAGCAAGCATCCACACATCTAGAAAGTGCATCATGTCCTTGGCTTCTTGTACAATGGGTAAGGAGTCTCTGGAATGTGCGTGTGTGCATGGAGCTGCTCCACTCAGCTAATAGGAGTGGTGATAGAATGACCATACCACTCCCAAGGCACTGCAAGAGAAAGAGGAGAGCTATTTCCAACTTCACACTGCCCTGCCAATGTTGATAATCCACTTTTCCCTCTGAAGGTTGGAGACTACAGCTCACTCCTGTGTTTCCATGAAACCAAGCACCCACACTTACAGCAGACATGATTCATTACCCAGTTTGTTTAATCAATATTTATTCAGCATCCACGAGGTGCTGAATATAGAACAGCATTTCTTAGATGAGGAAGAGTGACAAGAAAAGCAAGAACTCTAGGAGCTTGTTCCCTAATATGGGCAAAAAATAAGGTTGCTGAAAATGCTATGGTTAGAGATACCGAGAAACAAGAGCTGTATCTGACACTTGCAAAACCAGAGATTATTCTTTTATCAAGACAGCATTCTTACAGGAAGGTTGTCCCTATTGACTCTGCTGTCCCAAGATACCAACATCATTTTTGGCTTAGACACCTCTCAAGTGTCCTTCTAACAAGTTTTCCTGCCTCCTCCCTTGCTCTGCTTTGATTCATTTGCATACAGTACTCTGAGGAAATATTTAGAAACATGAGTCAGATAATGCCACATCACTGATTAAAACTTTCTAGGGGTTTCCCATTGTCTACAGAGTCAAATCCAGACCCTCGACATTGTTCTAGGCTCTGAACTCCTGATGAACTCCAAGGCCTCATCTCCTAACGCCATCTCCTGGATCATCACAAAGAATACTTTAATTCTTTGTTATTACACTTGCCACGCTCATATTCTCTCCTGGGCACTGTGTACTGTGCATGACTTGCTCCTGTGTTGCATTCATGCTTTACTTCAAATGTCACCACTTCAAAGATGCATCCCTGGATTCTCACCCACATTGCCCCACTTGGACACTGAGTTACTCCATCACATCACTCTGCTTTTTGCTACTTGGAAAGATCTGTTTCTTTTTTCACTCTGTCACTTGTCTCTCACCACTAGATTATAGCCTCTAGAGGGATGGAAATGTCTTCTATCCTGATTGTGATTCCCAGTAACTAAAGCAGCACTTGTCAAATACCAGATATAAAGTAATATTCATGAATTATCTTTCATAAGCATAAGTTGTTATTTTAGAACATATTAGATTATTTCAGTGTCTTAAGGAGCCAAAAGGCCATTCTAAAAATGATTAAGATGTGATCTATACATATACCAATTCTCCGTGTGAACGTAGTCATTACATTTTGCAAATGTGAACTGATTTTTAAAAATCTGTGATGAAATACAAAATAGAAAGTCCTAAGACTAGAGTAATTGAATAAAACTGATTTTACTTGATGAGGAGAATATAATTATTAATTTGATATGTCCCTCTTCAAGACAATTCAACATATCATCTTAAAAAGCAGTACCTAGAACGCAATCTCTTCTCCACTGGCCCACACCATGGTCTACCGCGTATGGCTCGTCACTGTCATCAGCAAAGATTAGCTTCCTCCTGCTAAATTTCAGAGTGCTTATTCACTTGATTTCTATTACTTGTTTTCTGGTCATTTACTTTCTGTTACTAGATAAGGGAGACAATAGTCCCTATCTGTGTGCCACGTACCCAGCACTGTTTCATAGGAGTTCAGTAAATGTTGTTGAACATTGAATTAAAATATTCTCCCAGGGCAAGGCACTGAACGAGAAGAGTCTTCTTTTATCATGGGATAAGAGATAGAAGTTCTCCCCTGGGTGCATGGGTTGTGGGGCCAGACCATGCAAACTTCTGCACTACTTGCACTGTGGTGATTCACCTGGAAGGAGCATCATTTATTCATTTGTTAACTCATTCATCGCAAAAACATGTCTTCCTTCAACCATTGTATTTGCTACTCTTATTTTTTTCATTTT